GTTCTGAGTCTACAATTAGTCAAATCATAGCAATATAAATTCAGTAATGTTGATGAAGATGACTGATATCACCTCTGTAATGCTGTATATGCTTTTATAAATTTACAGAGTCAATAAGCAAGATATTTAATCACTAAGAGCTTCAGTGACTAGTTTCTTAGTTTAGCTACAAATCAAGAAGAAATCAGATATTATGTAATCCAGGTTTTGTTTACTTAGATTTAACCCATCAGAGATTATGAGAAAATAGATAAGGCTTAGCGATAAACAATATTCATCAGCATACTTTTAGTTTTATAAAATAAAAGCATTGTTTTCAAGTATCATTTTCCCAACAAACAAACATTTATGATATCAATTGTTCAACAGAAAGGTGGCTGAGACAGTTGTAAGGACACTGAAGCATTGCCAAAGGAAATATATACATAGATATGAAATAATGAAATTTAGTACAGAATTTAAATAAATGACCATAAAAGTTATGTCTTCACACTTTAAAAATGAAAATTCAATGATTTAATAAACATTTGTAAAGAGAGATAGAGAAGTTTGAGAGAATGATGTTATTTTATTTTTTTTGTGGGCTGGGAATGTATCTCAGTTGGAAGAGTTCTTGCCTGACATTCACCAAACCTTAGGATTGATCCTGAGCACTGCATAAAGGTGGCATGTTAGTGCATGCCAGTCATACCAATTCCCCTGAGGTGGAGGCAGGAGAATCAGAATTTCAAGGTCATCCTCAGTAATGATGTTAGATCAAACTGGGATATATGAGATGCTGTCTCAAACTGATATTATATTAACAACAACCATGTTAACAATTAATAATCTTCCTAAATTGAAGGAAAGATGATTGATGAATTGATACAAATATCAAAGCTGTCACAGTTTTTCTTTATAATTGCTTTTCCCAAGTGAATGGTTAAGGATCAAGAGTCAACAGGTTACAGCAGATTGTCCGCTAAGAAACAAGGCAAAAGCCAGCCAACCATTATAATGTGCAACCAATTTGCCTAGAGAGCAAGAAACACTGTACTTCCCTCCTTCAGGACAATAGTAAGCCCTCATTTACAGGGAGTAAATGGTACATTGGAACATTTCATCTTGAAATTTGTTTATATGTCACAGGTATCAAGGTTGCCAGTGGCCCATTACACAAGCCATTTTTCAACAGAATATCATAAAATTTGATTTCTGAAAGTGACTTCTGTTCACAATTACAAACCACGCAAGAAACATCATCTATTGCTAGAGTTAAAGACAATTTGTTTGGGGCTGGAGAGATAGATGGCTCAGCATTTAAGAACATTGGCTGCTCCTGCAGAGGACCGGGGTTTGATTCCCAGCACCCTCATGGAGGCTAACAACCATTCTAACTCCAGTTCCAGGGAAATCTGATGCTCTCTTCTGACCTCCTCAGGCATTGCAAGACACGAGTGCACTTACATACAGGCAGGTAATACACTCATACACATATAATAAAAAATAATAATAAATAAAATATTGTAAAAAATAGATTGTTTGGGCCTCCAAAACACCAAAAAACAATTTAGGGAATGGAAAATAAAGTTTCTAAGAAAGCATTAAATGCAGTACACACATGTAAGTTTAAAAAGACAAGTTAACAGATTTCCAGAATTACGGTATTAACACATAAGTACTATAGATTGCAATAAAAATAATGGATTTAAATGTAAAAGTATATCATGAACATATATATAAATAATATTATCTTAATCACATAAAATTTCACTTCAAGTTGGGGAATGTATATCAGGAAATTGTTTACCCAAGGAAAATAGTGAAATTTAAAAATAAATAGGGTTAACAATAGAAAAGTTTATTTCTGATATCAAAAAGAATAGTAAAATATAGAGACCTTGTATTTGTAGAAAGTGTGGGAATTCAAGTCAACATTAACACAGGGTTGAATCCAATAATATACATAACTACACCCGTTGGTAGGCATTTATATGTGTGAATGGCTTGGTTTATATACATATATAGGCAAATAATATATGCTGCACATGTAAAGCATATGTACCCTGAAGTGATGCCATTTCCAAGCTCTAAGATTTGTGGACACAGGCCTCATGCCAGAGTTAGTCATACTGAATGAATGGCACTAGGGCTAGAAGCATAGACACTGGAGATAAACTGCTGAGAATTCCCAGACATGAGAGTTACCTGCCTCCCACATGACTTTGGTATCTTTATCTTGATAAGGATATCTTTATCCATAAAATGAAGGTAATGGTATAAAGGCTTCCCTAAAAGATGGTAAAGTGTAAGTTATCAAACCTCAAGTATTTAGAATAGTATTCAGCAGGTAGTTTGTGCTATATATCAGTTTGCTCTTAAATCTTTTGAAAGAAGATAAAATTATTTGGAAAAGTGTGTTGTTTTGGGTCCTTAAATTAGTAATATAGAATATTAATTATGATAATAAATATCACCTAAATTATTCTTATTTCTATGATTTGGGAATGATGATATATTTTAGTTCTTTAGGACATATAATGCAATATTTACTTAAGGTTTTACTATCTCATGGGAACCACCTAACTTATGAAATGTCACAGACAGAACTGACCTTTTAAAACTGTCATTTGAATTTTTTCTTTTGAATATTAAAAGATTTTGAGAGAAAAAAAACCTAAAGTTTCTTTAATAAATAATGTTCTCTAACATAGTTAGGAATATTTAAAAATTAAAAGGGTTTTAACATTAAACATTGAAGTCCGCATTCCTCACACAGAAAAGAAATGGAAGATAAAAATAATTTACATATAAACACACTTCTGTTGTTTCCTAAAAAGGCTGTCCTTTACAAAGGCTTAAATCAAAATAAATTGTGAATTTAGCCAAAGAGGCTTTTCTGTAAATATGCATGTGCACACATGGTTAGGAGGAAATGGTGATCTGGAATGACATTTCACAGGCTATTAATGTGTCATTACCCAAAAAGCACTTGAAGGTTATATCTTTTAACTTGGCTACATATCCAGGTTTTATTGTATGGAATTCTGGATAGCTTACATAGAGGGAAGAAACCTAGGGAGCCCAAGAAGGGGAATCTCAGCTATTCAGTCACCTTTTCAGTGACTGTTAAAATTGAAATATCTCACAAGAATGGGGGAAAGGGTCTTAATTCCTCTGTTACTTTAGACATTTAGAAAACTCAGACAACACTGGGACTTCTTGAGGACTGAAGGGCAGAATGAGGTGTGAGCACAGTGTCTGGTAGCAAAGGACATCAAAGGTCAGATTAAAAAGGTCTCTCCAACTAAAATTCCACACTACCATTCTTGGCTGTGTGGAGTGGCAGATAGGCACTGTGTGTCTAGGCCTCGAAGAACAACTGGCCCTGTGGAAAACCAAAGGTTTTCAAACCTCTCAGCCCTTATCTCTGGAAAAAAAAAAAATGAGGCATAGTCTTCTACTCAGGAAAAGCCCTTGAAACCTGGCTGTCTGTCTGAACCCAGTACCCTCATTCTCTTCCCTGAGTGGGACACATCCACTGGTCTATGCTGGGGAAAGTGTCTCTGTTGTCCCTAGCTTTGTATTATTTGTATTTTAAGCGTCCCAGATTTACTAATCTGCTGAAGTTTAAGAATGGGTCCCTTGTGCCTGTGGAGTCGAGTCTGTGCCTTCAGTGAGAAAGCCAGCATAGCCAACATACTAGGAAGCTTGCTATCACCATCACCTGCCCCTACTTCCTGTCCACAAGCCACTTCTAGGTGCTGGATCATCCTTTCTCTTTCTGCTTTGTTCAGTTATCCAAAGGTACATTTCTTTTATGTGAAAATTAATGTTTCTCCCGTTCATTCTTTTCCTTTATCTCCAAAAGGAAATATTCAGCCACTCAGTAGAAAATTCAGGGAATGATCCAGCTCCAGGTCACTTTGCACCCTGGTTCATAAAGCATCTCAAGACTGAAACTTTTCAATCCAGGAAGACAGAGACAGCCTAGGAAATAGGTAAATCCTTACTTTCTAGAGCACACCGAGTTTCCCTTTCCTTTTCTGGACTGGCCCGCCCCAGTAAATCTGGGCTGTCGCCCTACACATCACCCTGGGGGAGGCAAGCATCTCCTGCTAGTTAGTTCTCCGCCCCTGCGCATCTGCCCAGTCTGGACCGCTCTTCCACCAGGTGGCCGCCCTTCTTTCTCTTCCTATCTCTCCTATCTACACCCCAGGTCCTTTCAGGACAGTCAGCCTGCGCATCTCTCCTTCATCCCCATTTGGTCACCAGAGAAGTTCTGTCGCCGCCTCCTAGGTCTGTACTGTTTAATCTCCCAAGTCAGATCAAGCGTCTCCCAAGAAGTAGGTTTTCATAAACTTTGCAGCCACTGACTCTCCTACAGCGGCGAGCGAGTTCAATAACACACACTTGCCTGCACATGGGCGGGCGGGAGCAGGTACACTGGTCGGGATCACTTAACCAGGAGAAGCAGCCCGCCAGTGGGCAAATGATAAGGCTACGTTAAAGTCTCTTGCTATAGACATTGACGTGCTGAGCTGATGAGGGAGGCATCAAAGAGAATTTCGAAATGGGCTTGGGGAAAGGAGGACCAGAAAAAAATGGTGATTCTAAACACACAGAGAAAGACATCCACTACACCGGGTCATCAGCACACAGCAGTTCTCCCTAGAGGCTCATACTTTGAGGGAAATCGCTGAGGGTAGCACCGAGTATAATAAATCTCCGCGGCTCAAATATCTTGGAACTACAGATCCCTGTGGTCTGCTGGACTTTGGTCATGACACCCCTGGCGCACTTGAGGATGAAGACTCAAGGCGCTTCCAAGCCCTTAGCTCAGCCTGCAGAATCCCCCAGGCAGGTGCGGAGCGCTTTTCCATTCAAGCAACAAGCGGAGTGTCCGCGGGGAGGCCGGCTACCCCTGTCCTCACGCGGGTCACCTCTCCCCGCCCCCATCCCCAGCAGCCAGCCGGGCCACACGCGTGCAAGGGAAGGAGAAATCCAAGAGAGCCACTCACCCCTAGCTTCCTGCTGCGGATTTTCACGTAGCCTTGCTTGACTATGTCGTTAAAGTTGGAGGCCATGGCCAGCGCTGTCCGGCTAGTCGGCTAGGCGATCGGTGTCCCAGAGTCGACAGCCGCGGTCCTCCACCCGGTCCGAGCAGGTCTAGCATCCAGCCGGCCGCCTCCAGTAATCGCGCGGCCGCCGGGTCCTCCTCGAGCTCCAGCCCGCGGGGACACGGGGTCGAAGGCAGGGCCGCCGCGCACAAGGACTGGGGAACACGGCCGGGAGCCGCCGAGCAGCGCCAGCCCCTAGCGATCCTGCTGTCACCTTCGCCCCCAGCCGTGAGCAGAGCACCATGGGCCCGCGCGCCGCCGCCAGCTGTGCGCCCCCTCCGCCCCGCCGCCCCCGGCAGCACCCACAGGCTGGCGCCTCACTAGCCGGCGCACAGCTGGCCGGAGCGCACCATAGCGGCTCCCTGGCGCGGGGGGAGGGGGAAGACGGCGGGGCGGGCCGCTGCGCCCGCCTGGCTCCCTCCCCCTGGCCCGCGGGGTGGCTGGGCTGGAGCGCGCCGCCGCCAGCTGTGCGCCCCCTCCGCCCCGCCGCCCCCGGCAGCACCCACAGGCTGGCGCCTCACTAGCCGGCGCACAGCTGGCCGGAGCGCACCATAGCGGCTCCCTGGCGCGGGGGGAGGGGGAAGACGGCGGGGCGGGCCGCTGCGCCCGCCTGGCTCCCTCCCCCTGGCCCGCGGGGTGGCTGGGCTGGAGGATGCTTGCAAGATGCACTCCATCT